TGGCTCCAAGATGACCATCGAGCCACCGCGTGGCGTTAAGGCCAACCTGCTCAAGTCCTACAGCAGCCTCAGCGATGACTTCCTCAATTCCTGTCACAAGGTGAGGCACACTTGGCAATGCCCTGTCTACCTGCCCTGATCCTCACCCCTCACGTCCCCGCCCCTCACCTCTCGCAGGCGATGGAGTTCAAGTCCCTGCTGCTGTCCCTGTGCCTTTTCCATGGCAATGCTCTGGAGCGCCGCAAGTTCGGGCCCCTGGGCTTCAACATCCCCTATGAGTTCACGGACGGGGACCTGCGTATCTGCATCAGCCAGCTGAAGATGTTCCTGGATGAGTATGAGGACATCCCCTACAAGGTGGGCTGGGGACAGGCTGGGGGAAGGGGGCCAGGCGCTCGTGGGGCCCTCTCACCCACCCACTGCATAGGTCCTCAAGTACACGGCAGGGGAGATCAACTATGGGGGCCGTGTCACGGATGACTGGGACCGCCGCTGCATCATGAACATCCTGGAGGACTTCTACAACCCCGAAGTGCTCCTCCCCGAGCACATCTACAGCGACTCAGGCATCTACCACCAGATCCAACCCACCTACGACCTCAACGTGAGCACGGCCTGGGTTCTAGGGTACTGTGGACACCTGAGTGCGGGGTGAGAGGAGTTGTGGCCCCTGCCCTACACTAGCTCCTTCTCACTGACTAATCCATCCCACAAAGACAGTTACCAGTGCCTGGGAGCACTCAGTGAGGCAGGGGCAATCCAACCCAATGCACAGTCAGGGAGGCTCCCTGAGGAAACGCTGTTTCGGCTAAGGTGTGTGAGGAGCGTTCGGGGGCTGGGTCAGGCACTCTCCAGTGTGGGTCATCAGTAGAAAGGAGGGAGTGTGACAGGTTTGAGCAGCCAAATGAAGGAGCAGGGAGATGGATGGCAGTGAGAAGGGGCCACCCACATGATGCCTCAGGGGCCTTGGAGTCCCAAAAATAATAGGGTTACAACCAGGGTGATGGGTGGGGGCTGTGCTCACTTGGAGGGCCACCACAGCGGGGCTTCAGCTGTTGTGCCTTCCTATCCCCAGGGCTACCTCTCCTATATCAAAGGCCTTCCTCTCAACGACATGCCTGAGATCTTTGGCCTGCATGACAACGCCAACATCACATTTGCCCAAAATGAGACTTTTGCTCTGCTTGGTGCTATCATACAGCTGCAACCCAAATCATCCTCTGTGGGCGGTCAGGGCAGAGAGGAGGTGGGTGACAGTGGGAGGGAAAGGGCCCAAGGGTTGGGCAGGGCTAATCTCCCACCCACCACCCTTCCTGCTCCCTTGTGGGATGGAACTCTGTGCATGTGGAATCCTACAAAGGTTGTGGGAGCCAGCCCTGACCCCCACTATCTCTTTGCCCCTACAGATAGTGGAAGATGTGGCCATGAACATTCTACTCCAGATACCTGAGCCCATCAACTTGCAGTTTGTGATGACCACGTACCCCGTGCTATATGAGGAGTCAATGAATACGGTGCTAATACAGGAGGTCATTCGGTAATCCTCCACCACCCCCAGCCCTGAGTCACTGGACCACTGGGCTGTAGAGAAATGACAGGAAGAGGTACTATGGGCCAGGTGCCATACAAGTGCAATAAATCCATCCTCTAACTCAGCCACAGTTTTATTATCCCATTTTACAAATGAGTAAGCCAAGAGGCAAAAAGGTTAAGTGAACTAAGGTCACATATTTGCTAAGGATCAGAGCTGGGATTGGTACCCAGGCTATCCAACCAGCTCTATACTGTGGCCTCTATATTCAGCCATTGTTTTGGGGGTGTTTTTTTTGCCTATGGCCCACAACTGGGGAGTATAGATGCTGCTAGAGGGCCCTGGCCCACTGCCTGCCTCCTTGCCATAGGTACAACCGGCTGATGCAGGTGATCACACAGTCACTGCGAGATCTGCTCAAGGCACTCAAGGGGCTGGTGGTGATGTCCTTGGAGCTGGAACTGATGGCTGCCAGCCTGTACAACAACACTGTGCCCGAGATTTGGAATGCCAAGGCCTATCCATCACTCAAGCCACTATCCTCATGGGTCCAGGATCTGCTGCAGCGCCTAGACTTCGTACACACCTGGATCAAAGAGGGCATCCCAGCTGTTTTCTGGATCAGTGGATTCTTCTTCCCCCAGGCTTTCCTGACAGGCACCCTGCAGAACTTTGCCCGCAAGTCTGTCATCTCCATCGACACCATCTCCTTCGATTTCAAGGTCTGGATACAGTTAGGGCCAGGTCAGGTGACAAGTTGGGGTACAGCCCAGACAAGGGGACCCTAAGGCCACAGCTGGCTGACCTCAAGAGTCAGAGGACCCCTGAGCAGGGGTTGGGGGGAAAGGAGAGCCGGGCCAGAAGAGGCCATGAGCTCAGGGAAATCACAAGGGGCAGGACATAGACTGCAGGCTACCAGGTAAAATGGTGCATATGATGGGCAGGTAGGCAAAGCTCAGGAGGGAGTTTGTGCCTCTGGACCCAAATTCTAACCCAGATTCTGGGTGTTGATATGTGTGGGGCATATCTGTGTGCCCACCATAGGTATTGCGCCAGTCAGTGTCAGAGCTCAAGCAAAAGCCTGCAGAGGGGTGCTACATCCATGGACTGTTCCTGGAAGGTGCCCGCTGGGACCCCACGGACTTCCAGCTGGCCGAGTCTCGACCCAAGGAGCTATACACAGAGATGGCCGTTATCTGGCTCCTACCTGTGTCCAACCGCCAGGTTCAGGACCAGGCCTTCTACCTGTGCCCCATCTACAAGACACTAACCCGTGCTGGTATGAGGCCCAGGGCAGGGAGCCTACACCACAGGTGGGGGCCCAGGCCTGGGCCAGCTCAGGCCAGTTAGGCTGATCCAGGTTAGCGGAACAAGATGGCCAAGAGGTCAGCCAGCAGTCTTAAGACCAACCAGGCAGGACAGAGTCTGGCAGCAGCAAGTGCCCAGCAGCTGGCTCGGTCTATGGTGGCCCCTGAGGTCACCATCTTGTTGCCTCCCTCAGCAGATCCACCGTGGGTCCTGGGAGCCCTAGCCTGACAGTAGAGGTTCAGAGGGGTAACTGAGGCCTGGAGAGGAGGGATGGGCCTGGGCCAAGTCCAACAGGAAATGAGTGATGGCGTCAATTCTCCCATTACTGCCTGTCCTCAGTCAGTGCATTAACCCTGGACAGGCCTGAGCCTTGTCCAGACCATCACTGAGCAGGCTGCCCTTGGGCCAGGATTCCTTCCTTGTCCCCACATCTGCCAAGTCCATTGCCTTTACCCTATCCCTTCTCTAACTGTGGCAGACAACTTACCCCTCCCCTCTTGTTGCCTGTTCCAGGAACACTATCAACCACAGGCCACTCCACCAACTATGTCATTGCTGTGGAGATCCCCTCCGACCAGCCTCAGCGACACTGGATAAAGCGTGGTGTGGCCCTCATCTGTGCCCTGGACTACTAGACTTGGATAAAAGGGTGGGAACCATTAAATTTGAGTTCTTGAGTTTTCTAAGCAGTCCAACTGAGCCTTACCTGCTTACATCAGGTCCCTTCTGTAGGACTCACTACCAGGGCAACAGTAGGGATAAGAGGTTACAGCAGCCTCAAAAGAGAATGTGGTTAGCAAGGGGAAGAGGTGGCAGAGGTAGCAGCTTTGACCTGCTGGACCTGTCCATGTGCAACAAGAGGAGAGGGGACCCCTCCAAGATCCCAGAGCTCCTCCAGGGAGAGCACGCCCAGCAGGACTAGAGGCAGCCCTGCTTCAGACCAGAATCCCAGCATCTCTCCAGGTGGCAAAGCTGTCAGATCTCGTGAAAGTTTTGGCATGGCCTTCTCCTCCCAAAGTGCACCTTTAACACAACTCTTCAGGTTCCACAGCCTCCCGAGGCCCCTCATCAGCTCAGGTCCTGAATTCCAGGCCTAGGTCCCAAAAATCTCTGCCCCAGAAAGCTGAATACCCAAGAATGCATATTTCTCACCTTGGTCTTTGAACCTTGGGCCAGGCCTGGTTAGCTCCTCACTCCCACCTCCACCTAGCCTACAAACCTCAAGCCAGCAACCACAGGAGGGTTCATTTCTTTAGGAGAGTTTTATTCACTCAGTGACCCAATATTTACAAGGGGTTGAGGGATCAGGCTATGCTCAGTGCAGAGACAACTGCCAGGGCTGCCAGCTGTTCCCCACCCCTCTCCCAGATCACTATGTACAGATAAGGGGCCTCCTTGGATCTCTTTCAAAGCCATCTGTCAGAAGGTATGGGCTATGTTTAGGGGCTGAGCTCCAGAGGCAGTTCTGGGCCCGTTACCCCTTGGCATCAGGCCCTCCGGGAACATATGGTTTCCAAATGGTTGTCTTGGTCCTGCAGTCCCCACCCTGAGTGCCTTGCAAAGGCTGAGGAAGCTGGTGTGGCAGGGAGAGCTGAGGGGTGCCAGTCTCCTGCAAGCAGCCCTGTCTCTGCTACCAGGAGGGAAACGTGGTAATACTGAGGGGCTGGGCAGGGGCTCCTCTGAGCCCCAGGCTCCAGGACGGAGCCCAGGAGTCCAAGGCAGGCCCAGTGCCAGGGCCACAACACTGAAGGCAAAGAGCCCCAGAGCCCTGCTGTGGAGAGCAGACTTGACAAGCCCGACTAGAGCCAGGAAGGGACCAAACCACCAAACAGCTCAAACACTCCTCTCTGCTCAGGCCATGGGACCCTAGCAGGTTGCTCCCCTCACTCACTCTGGGACACCCCACTCCCAACCTAGCCCAGAAGCCAGGTCCCTGAGTTTGGAGCTCTCCCAGGAGGAATGAAGAGCAGACCTGGCTTCCTTACAAGAGACAATTGGCTGCTAAGCTAGAGCAGCAGGCCCAAGCCACCCAGGCCCCACCAGGATGGCAATTGTTAGGAGAGAAAGCAGAGTCAGGAAGCCGGCTATGTCAAGTCAGGAAGCCGGCTATGTCAACACAGTGGTGGCAAAATGGGCCAGAGCCCAGAAAAATAGACGTCTCTGTAGGTAAAATATATATTCTGCTGCCCAGGCAGAAAGGCCAGGTCCTGCAGCCCCACAGCCGGCTGTGAAGAAAGCTGCAGCACCTCGCTTTCCCAGCTCCAGCTGCTGCTTCCTGAGCACTACGGGAATCCCGGCCTGGCTTCCCTTTCCAGGGTCTGAGCTCTCTGGCTGGAACTATTCAGTAATACTGGGAAGGGGGAGTGGAGCAGGGAAGGGGCCCTGGTGAGGCCACAAGGCAAGAGCAGGCTGCAGAGTTGGGGCCAGCATCCTCATTGGCGCTTGGCCTTGTAGGGGCGTGAACGTTTCCGCCGGTCAGGCTTCCGCTGCTTGTGGAGCCGGCCAATGCTGACCCCTTGGCGCCGCCGCACCGAGATGTTCTGCTCCACCAGGTTGGCCAGCATCCCTGCAGAGAGGCAGAGGCCCTTGAGCAGGTGGCTGGATGCTTAGCAGCCACCTGCTCAATAGGCCAGAGACTCAGGCCAAGAGCAGAGGGTCTTATGGGCCTCCCTGAGACCCACCGCCTGCTCAATCCCCAGCAGAGGCCTGGCGGAGGGGGGACCTGAGGAACATGGCCCTCAGCAGGGTATGCCAGGTAGGACGCAATAGTGAGTACCCCCACCTTCTTGAGCTAGCATGGAGATGAACGTGCAGATGAACTCGTCATAGTTGTGTGTCCTTCTCTGGTCGTCAATCTGTGGGAGAAAAGGAGGAGGGCACTGCGGCATCTCCCAAGAGCTGCCACCAGCTGACCTCAAGAAGTCGCACCTCCGGGAAGACAGTCATGGACAGAGGACCAGGCAGCTGGAGAAATTACCCACCTTGAACTTCTTCCTCTTCTCCACTTCTTCCTTGAGGCAAGCCTCATAGTTTGCAATCTCAGCCTCCACACACTTCAGCAGTGCCAGCAGCTCCTGCCAAAACCCAGCATTGCACCCATGAGGGAGGCTGGCGCCAGCACCAAAGCCACACTACCAGGAAGCAGCGAGAGGCAAGGATAAGCACCAGAGTGCCTGGAGCTGACCGAAGCTTCTACTACCCAACCCAGATAGGCTTCACAGCCACCAACCTCCCCACCAAAACTCCAATCAAGAACCCAGCTCTAGGCAGCAGCCCCCAGGCCCTTCCCTCTGCCAGGGTTAGAAAACTGCAGGGGCTCACCTTGGGTGAGTACTTCTCCCCACTCAAGGGCTCACCAGACCTGGCCAGCCCAGACTTCTCTCTGCCATCTGCAGCTTCCACCACCTCCTTCTCCTCTGGGCTGCCGGACCCCTGGCTACCCTGGCTTGGTCTGCTGGAGGGCGAGGAACCCTTCCCACCCTCTGGGAAAAGAAGACATGAGAAGACCCATCAGAGTGCAGGACACTTGGTGGTCACTTGGCTACCTCCCTCTTCCATCCCTGGTACACCAAGTGGCCAGTGAGTCAGCACGAGGCCCACCTGTCAGTGTCAGGGGACTCAGCACACCATCCTCAGCCAAGTGAAGCAGGCCTGTGCTGATGACAGGACCCAGGTCACGTACAGCGCGATTGTAGCGTATACAGTCAACACGCAGCAGGCTGTCATCCTCTCCAAAAAGCACCTTGGAGATGTGAGAGGTGACAGGGCTGGAGGGCCGTGTGGGGTTGGCCGAGCGAATGGGTGAGCGCAGTGGTGAGTTGAAAGCGCTGCCAATCTCAGAGGCTGTGTCTGTGCTCTCGTTGCTGGGGGTGGGCGAGGGCTGCGAGTGCATGGGTACTGCCACAGCCGGACTTCCAGCGCCGCTGCTGGTCTTGATGGACAGGGGGATCGAGAGATCTTTCTGGGACTCTTTGAGCTTCTCGGCCAAGACATTGATAGTGTTGGGCTGCAGCACCGACAGTTGCCCTTCCCCAGAGCCACTCAATGGCCCTGGCTTTCCTGGCCCCTTTCGCTTGTACCTGTGGGGCCCAATGAGACATGAGCCAAGGGACTGGGTCAGATGACCACACACCCAGCAATGCCTAGAACTGTCTGCACACACCCTGGCATCCAGGGACTGACCCTGCAGCTCCTCATGCCAAGCAGCCTGACCCAGCCATGCCAAGCCTGGCACCCTAAGCTCTGACAGCTACAGCCAGGTGTCCTCAAAGGACACCTTCTCTACTTCAGCTGCTGGCCTTTTGCCAATGCCATGTCTTCCAGAAAAGCTACCCCTACCCCATCTCCTCCTTCCATTTCACCCAATTCTTCTTCCAAAACCTAACCAAAAGGCCACCTCCCAACAGAACATATTTTGATGTCTGGTTAAATGTGCTCAGCCCTCCCCCCATCCCTCCCAAAGCTTCTTGGGACCTGCAATCAGCCCCTTCATGGCAGCCCGCCCCCCCGGCCCCAGGGACCCTGTATTCAGCAGGTGCTCAGTATTATCCATCTGCTGAAGGGCATTCTCAGATACACACTGAAATAGTCAAGATAGGATCTGCAGCACTCGGAGCCTCCAGCCTAGAGCTGAGCTGACCTGATGGCGGGGTTGGTGTTCTGCACATCCTCCTCCTCCTCATCCTCATAGTCGTCCTCGTCATCGGAGTACTGCTGGGGTGGGCGAACTGGAACTCGGCTACGGCCCACACCTGCTGCCAGGTCTTCCTCCTCCTGAGGCAAAACCCAGGGTAGCCATGAGCAGGCGTCAGTCAGCCCAGGCTAGGCATCACATTCACAGCCAGAGAGAAAGCCGGAATGGCTCTCAGGTCAAGTCCAGAACCCCTCCAGGTGTTCGAGCCCAGCCCTGGCTCTGGGAAAAGCTGCTGCCCACCCCCACTACCTGCCTACACAGGGCTTCAGAGAGAGTCTTGTGCCTTCATTTTGCAGCAGAATCCAACCCACAGAATTGTACCAAGGAACATGACCAAAACGTTTAGCCCCATAACTGTGTGGCTGGATTCAAAGTCAGCGGAGCTCTCTCTGCCTAAGCCCCTGCCTTTGTGGGTGCTTCCGAGGATCAGACAGAGGAACCCGGCCCAGGTGGGGGCTGAACACCAAAGAACCACCTGAGGACACTCCCATGGCAGCCTCTCGCAAGAATCCTGGAGGGACTCCTGTGGGGCACTCCCAGCTCACCTGCATGGGGGACTTGGCATAGTTGTGATTGTCCAGAAAAGCTGGCAGCCGCTGGACGATGGGAGTGGGGTTGGGGGGAACACCATTGAGGCTGCTCCCTGAAGGTTTCACCACCAGCTTGGGTTTGCTGGGAGGGCTGTGGGTCAGGGCTTGTGGGCATGAACCAGCCACCTCCTCCACACCGTCTGAGAGAAGCACAGGCAGGACCTTCAGCCAGATCCTCAAAAAAAGCTGTCCCCAGCCCGCTGTCTCCCCAGTCCTGTGACAGCTGAGCCAGCTGGTGGGATGGAAGTCAGTCATGGGCCCACAGCAAGACAAGAGAACAAGATGGAAAAAGAAAGGGAGGCAGAAAGAAAAAAAGCCTTGAAGAAAACCAGAAAGGGACTATGCATTACAGGAAAGGTGCAGGGGCCTGTGGTAACAGCAGCCCTTTACAGATGCCTTTCTTTAGGGAAAACTGCTTTCCCTCCATGTTCAGATGGGAAAGGGATGCAAGCACTGGGCTTCAGGCCTTACGTAGCAGTGTCTGAATCACTGCCCAAGTGCCTTCAGGTCTTCCAGGTCAAGCTATGAGGGGTCACTCTGAGGCCCATGAGAGGCCCTAAGCCCCCTAGTACCTGTGTGGGTGCCCTCAGAGGACACTGGGCCCCTGCTCGCCTCCAGAGCCACGGGGGACTTGCCACTGGCTGGTTTGGACTCCTCAGGCAGCTGTGCCTCCTGAGACTTGTGGGTCTGAATCAGCTCTGGTTGTGTTACCCTGATCACCTAAAAAGAGAAGCCAGGGCTCAGAAGAGAGAAGGCAGCCCCAGCCTCTACCTTGGACAGCTAAGGGCCTTGGCTCTCCCCACTCCCTCACAGGAAAATACAAGTCAAACACAAACCTCCTTTTAGAAACTACTTTCCTTCCCCACCCCAGGCCCCCCTTTCCCAAAAAGGGCTCAAAGGAGAGGAGTGGTTAGTTGAAGCCCAGATCCATGATGATTTGGGAATCATAGACAGATGCCCCAGTGAGGGGAAGGAGAAAATGGCTGGGCAGGGACCGGGCAGGAGAGTACCCACCTGCTGCAGGGCCTCCAGTATTATCTGACGGTTCACCTTGAGGACATGCAGCCTGGCCTCATACTTGATCCTGCGATCGGGCACCACCGCCATCAGGTTGAAGCGGATGTCATGGTAGGGCTCCCTGCAGTCACAGCTGCAGCTGTGAGAGCAGCTCCCACCCCAGCCCCACCATCACCTTGAGGCAGATATCCTGGCAGGGCTCCCTGAAGTCACACCTGCAGCCATGGGTATAGGCCCCACCCCAACAGACAGGCAGCAGCTGACCATGCATACCAGGTACCTGAGCTGGTGCCTTCCAACAAGCGGTGTGAGGGGCCTGGCAGGAAGTGAGCCAGCATACCTGGGCCCCCTAGGGCTCCAAGTCCTGCCCCTTCCCAAAGCAGGCCATAGAGCAATGAGTTGGAGCCCTAGATTCAAGCCTGATCCTGCCAGATTCACCATGGCACAAACCACCTGGCTTCTCTGCCTTGGTTCCCTTTTCTGTGCCCCTCCCAATGGGGGCACAGCTCCAAGGGTAGGGCAGGCACAGGACCCTTACCCTGCAGTGGCGAGGCCGATACGCTCCATGATGACCCGCCGGGCCTTGTCTGTCCATTCCTCATCCTCACCCCAGGGCCCTAAGGAACACCAAGACAAGGAGTCAGCAGGTGGGAAGCCCGAGTTTGGGCAAGCCAAGAATGGGAGGGAGGATGGAGAGTAGTTGAATCAGGGAGTCAGGGGCTAATCAGGCAATGCAGTGCAGGGTGCCATGTGGCCAAAGCCAGATGTCCTGAATACCCATCCCCCATCCCCCCGCTGAGTCCCAAGCACCTGATGACCCTGGACCCCAACTCCTTAAGAGTTAAGCAGAGAAAACCAAAGGGCCCCCAGCTCAGAGTGCTTACCATGGTCAATGGGGTAGACCTTGAGCCCATCCAGTTCAAAAAGCCGGCCTGTGATAGGCACATAGCTGACAAAGTGGAATGCCTCCATGGTCCGCACTGCACTAAGGCCGTTCTGCTTCTCAGGGAGGTGGCGTGGCTCGGGCCTGGGGAAGGACACAGTCAGGGCCCCGAATGGGACAGCCTTCCTTACCTCCACCCCCAACAGCTCCCACAGCTCCCACACACCTGGCATGGCTATTATGTGCCTTGGCCAACTCCGGGGCATTGCCAATTGCATATCCTTTGCTCTAGAGGGAAGAAAATGAGACCACATCAGAACAGCTTCTCAGCTGAGCCTCTGGGAGAGAACCAGAGCTTAGACGTGCAGGCCTGGAGGTGTTCCAGGCATCTGAAGAAGCACAGGTAGACTCTCCTCAGGGCAGAAGAGAGCTCTGGAGCCCCCAACAGATGGGCTCTAATGGCCTTGCACAGTAATAAGCAGACACTGGGAGCATGTGGCCTGCAAAATGCCAACGAAGTCCTAAAATGGTGTCACTTAAGCAATGTTCCTTTCTTCCCTAGGTTTGTCTCCTTTCCTGACAGTTGGGCCTAAAACCAACTGCCTTCCACAATTAACTTAAGAGTCAAATGTAATGTAAATGATCATGTGAAAAATACAAAGCCTCACAGTGCCATATGTCATGTAGTGGCATCGCCAGCGGCCCTGGAGGTCAGATGTGTCCCACCAGCCGTGAGCCAGGATTAAGGCACCATGGCATACCTCAGGGCTGAAGCCTTTGGTGAAGTCCTTCATGCGACTCAGGGTGGGCCCCAGGTCCACATTGCTGCAGTTCAGGAGCACGCTCAGCAGGGCATGAGTGGCACAAGAGTTGGGGATCAGCTGTGAAACCAAGAACAGTCACCCATGCACAGCATCCTTCAACTGAAGCCCATATTCATCAGGAATGGGAACCCAGAGCGGGACAGTCATATCTGGACAACAACCCTCATCTTTGCCCAATGTTTGTTCACTTAACTAAATTCCCATCAGATGTCTGGGGACATGGAAAGTAGATTCCGATCCCACACTGCTCTAAAGAGGCTCCCTTTTTTAATGAATAAGAGCTCAGTTCCTTCTGCCAAGGGACTTCTATAACCACCACCCTTAGTATCTGCCTATCTCTTCCTCCTGCCTTCTCCCACTCCCACTTCCCAAGCAAGGACAATAGCAGCATCCCACCCTCCAGACAGAACACAGAGCCCAACACACCTGGTGGGCAAAGAACATATTATTCACAATATCGTCATCAATCACAGATGTATCATCCACCAAGGTAGAGACCTTGCGACGGGATCGGCGCTCTTCGATCCATTTGAACAGGAAAATGAATCCATACACGGGGCTGGGGAAAGTAAGGAGCAGAGCTAAACCAGCCAAGTTGGGGGAGGAAACCAGTACCCCCCTTTTTCTCTCCCCCTGTTCCCCTGCACTGTGTTGCCGCTCAGGTGCCCTTCCTGCAACCCCGCCTTTCTCCTGGTTTCTCCCCAACACTGCCCAACATGGCCCTGAGCCCTCACACCCCAGAAGCCCGCCACAGGCAGGCTAAGCATCGGCTTCTGGCCGTGGTTCTCCAGGAGCCCACCAGTGTCCTCACGAAGTTTATGGTTCTGGGATAAGAGGAGAAAAGCTGGAGCCAATGGCTCAGGGCAGGGTAGGAACAGAAGTTAAGGTGAGCACAAAAACTGATGAGGAACTGAAACACTAATTCTCACTGGTGAACCCCGAGGCCTGAGCCCAATGCAGACGAGGAAGAAACTATGAGCCCCTCCTTGGCGGGGAAGTAAAAGCAGACTTCTCCATGCAGTCACCACAGCAGCTCCTCCACACCAAAACGAGACCCCGAGGTTGGTCACCAGGAGGGCCTCGCAGGTGCCAACCGATCTATACAAGACCCTTGTGTGGAGATGAAAGGCACCGAAACACCGGGCACATTAAAGCAGTCGTTAATAATGACAGCTGCTCATCAACCAAAGGACTTATATGCAAGCCTATAGGCCTAACCAATGGACACAGACAACAGGGGGGTGAGGGCATGGGGGGGAATGGGGGGATAAGGACACATATGTAATAACTTAATAAAATTTAAAAAATAATAATAATGATAGCTGCTCAAAAGGCAGGTGTGATCTGGGTCTAGAGAAGGGCCTGGCTTGCTGCTCCAGACCAGAAAAAGCAGCTGAACTGTATTCCAAAGGATGGTTGGAATTTTTGCCGACTGGGGGAGGTGCTACTGAGTAAAGGGAAGTGATGAGGGGAGACTGGAGAAAACAAAAACACCAGCTTGATCGGGAGGGCACCCCAAGAGGAGGGCTGCTTCCTTAGGTGAGACTTTACAACGTGGGGTTCCGGACACCGCCCGCCTTGAGGGGCACCTCTAGGCCTCGAGGCGTGAAAGGCGGTCCTGCCGCCAAGCCACTCACCCCTGGCACTTGCTCTGAAGGTCATAGATCTCCTCCACTTGCACCCCTTTGACACCTGCGGTCAGGGAAGAAAAGAAGTCGGGAAGGGCAGCTCCGGGCCATGCAGCGAGGGCGGGAGAGTGAGTCCCCACAGCTGGGGGCCGGCGGGTAGGAGAGGCTCTTACCGAAATCTTCCACCAGGAGGGTGAAGAGGCCTGGTGGGGCGACAAATGGTGGTCAGGCAGGCGCCTCTCGGCGGGGACCCCCAGCCCCCCCACCCCCCGGCCAGCCGGCCCCCTCCTCACCAGGGTCGCTCTCCAGCTCCAGCCAGCCCTTATTCATCTTCCCGCGGGGCGGCCCCTCAGCGCCATGTCCAGGCCCTCCCGACCCACCGCCGCCCCGCCGGGAGCCCCCGACGCCCCCGGGGCCCCTAGCCCCACACACAGACAACGGGTCCCGCGCGTCACTTGCTCGCGCCGGCGGGATACGTCACCACAGGGCGACCGTTTCCCCCGGGCTTCTGGGCGCGTCTTCCGCCGGTTAGACTGACGACGGAGCTCTAGCGCGGGGGCGGGGCGACGCGAGGGGCGGGGCTAGAGGAGGGGGCGGGCGAGTGGTGGTGGCGCCAGTGGCGCGAGAGCGGGCGCGTGAGGGGCGTGGCTAGAGGAAGGGCGGGGCGCGCGGTGGTAGCGCCCGCGGCGCGAGGGGAAGGGGGCGCGGCGATGGGGGCGGGGCTAGAGGAGGGGGCGGGCGAGTGTGTTGGCGCCCGTGGCGCGAGAGCGGGCGCGTGAAGGGGCGTGGCTAGATGAAGGGCGGGGCTAGAGGAGGGGGCGGGCGAGTGTGTTGGCGCGAGAGCGGGCGCGTGAAGGGGCGTGGCTAAAGGAAGGGCGGGCGCGCGGTGG